AGTTTTCCGCTCGACAGTTTGAAAATTCCTATTGTTAGCAAATAGAATCATAGCTTCAATACAAAAAAAAGGTTGATCGCAATCAAAACTCATTAACGAACTATTTCATGGAAGGAAATAGTTAGAAATTTTGTGTAGAATTGTTGTATGATGATAATTTATCATTTAAATAAAAATAATTCGATATATTCCATTGTCGACATAGCTAAGATTTTGTTGTTTCGTTTCTAGCAATGATGGCTGTTCTTGGTATTCTTATGGTTGTGTTCTTCTTCAGTTTCTTACTTTCGGTATTTCGAGCTAAATATCAAGGTTATCCATATAGGTAAGATTTCTTATATCATTGAATTTTCATAAAAAATTATTACGAAAGATTTAATATTTAAAAATAACTAATTTACTTTTTTTTTGTTTATTTTAGCTTTTTAATCAAATAATCCATTGATTGTGATACAAACTTTCAACAACATCTTTTCAGCATATATGATTCTTTGATTAAAACATTTGATATATAAAAAAAAAAAAAAAGTGTTCTAGTGTATTGTTGTTGTTCTAATTCGCTTAGTTAGTCTTATACTTCTGTTTCCAAGAAAGAAAAAAAAAAAACGTCCTTAACGAACTTGTATTGTTTTTCTCTTAGTCTTTATTGTGTCATTCAAAAGTAGCAAAAAAAAAAAAAGAGAATATGAAACCAAAAGAAAAAATAAAATTTTTGTTCTTCTATTTGTTTGTTTTTTTTACTTATTAGTTTATTGATGATAAAAAAAAATCTTAAATGAATTCAATTCGTTCATGTATTGAACAACAATTAAATGAAATTGAATTATTACGTTGTTGTTATCCATCATCAGATGAATTTTATCTTGATGATATTGAAGCATTTAATGAAGCAAAAGAATTTCTAAATGAAAAACGTGAAAATATTCAAAGAAATCTTGGTTTTATTATTAAATTATATCTAAATGATATTAATGTAAAGATTTTCAAAAAAAAAAAAAAAGAATTTATTTAAAAATTGTTTAACTATTTTTTTTAAGACATCAATTGAACTTCAATTTGTTTATCCATTTTATTATCCTGAATCACCAATTGATATTCATTTACGTACATATTTATCACGTGAATGTTATGAAAAATTTAATGAATCAGTAAAAAAATTTTTAAATAATAAAATATCATCATTACAAGAACCTTATATTATGGAATTTCTTTCATGGATTCAAGATAATCAAAATCTTTTTATTGTATCAAATGATACAATATCGAAAATAACAAATGAACAAATAATAAAGAAAAAAAATTTTTCTCGTCTTTGGATTTATAGTCATCATATATATAATATAGAAAAACGACGAAATATAATTAATTGGGCACATGAATTACATTTAAATGGTTTTTCTATGCCTGGTAAACCTGGTATTATATGTATTGAAGGTGAAGAATCTGATATTAATGAATATTGGACACGTTTAAGAAATTTAACATGGAAAAAATTACAAATAAAAGAAAAAGAATATTTAAATGATATTGAAGAAAATAATTTATGTTTTAATCAATTTCAAGAACTTGCTTTTGTTGATGATAATCATAGTAAACATGATTTAGGACAATTATATCAATATTTACATGATAAAAAATTAGATAGAATGTTTAATCTATTTTTTGGTTTTGATGGAACAGATAAAAAATAAATTATCCTTTTAGATTGAAGATTTATTCTATATTATGAATCAAGAACAAACATCAAAACGATTACCTAGACCTGATCTTCGTGTTAATCCAGCAAAATGGAGTGCTGCACAGAGTGGTGGATACGCTTCACGAATTGCCATTATTGCAACTGTAACAGCTGTTATTGGTGGACTTAGTCTCGTATTTTTTTATCCTTATATGAACATTGATCGATTTCGTATGTATTATTTTTAAAATCAATAGAAAAAAAAAATGCTAAACACATGTTAACTGTTAGGTAACATTCAAAAAGTTACTCGAGCTGGAATCAATCCTGAAGACGTACAACCAGCTGGTAAATATTATCTAAATTCTGTTGTTTCTTTTTTTATATTCATAAATTTCTTTTTGTCATAGGTTTGCCTGTTTGGCGTGATCCATTCGATAGAAAAAAGGCTGGATAAATAACAAATGATACTTTCGATTGTTCTCACTTTTTCTTTATTTCTGTAGATTTATGGTTTTCATTGTTTTTTTTTCTATTTGATAAATAAAGAACTGTTTCCTTCACATCCATCTAGACAACATCAATACTCTCGATTAATAATCTTCTATTTTGTTGTCATTTCTCAGGCAAAGGTCATTCAATCGAACTTAAACCTTTCGTACAATTACAAGATAGTGTGTTTAGATGCGTATTTTTTATTATCTAAAATAAGGTATTGTTAACAGTTTTTTAGTGCTTTTGTCCGAAGAGCAAGAAACGGAAAAAAAGAGGTCATCTTCAAAATTCTTGTTGCAATTCAGTTAACTTTCTGAGAGAAATTTTCATGAATTTTAAGTCTATAGTAGCTAAGTACTCTGTTCATCATGATTGATCTTCTATGAAAATTGCAGTTTTCTTTGGTGAACTATTGTTCGAAAAAGTCGAAGGTCCAGACGTCATTACGCTATCGTTTTCCATATTGCTGTAAAGCGATGAAGACAGTAGAGACAAAACAATGTCTGTTGGATAGTAAAAAAAAAAGACGACGCCTAAAACGGAATGACAGATTGCCATGAAAGGTATTGAAGCAATACGTCTTTGTATAGTTGTTTCAAGCTATTGAAGCCACTGTTTTCGACAGTCGGCATGACTGTTCTAAGAAAGAAAGAATGCTTAACTTGTTCATTAGAGAAAACGCATAATTTGGAAGGAAATTGTTTATATAAAAGCATCGGGTTTTTTTTTCCATTAGATTACCCGTCTTTCTCTGTTGGTTGATGGAACAGGAAATATAAGAAAAAAAAGAAAATATGTGGCTTTTTTGGTGGCTGTTTTTGGTTTGTTCGTTCTCAGGTTTTTTTTTCTCTTTCTTCTCGTTTCTATTTCTATACATATATAATAGCATTTCTTGTATAGATACTTAGAACCTCTACTTACAAAACGAGATAGGCGAAATCATTGTTCTCATAATTAGCATTGAGTACAAATAGAAAAAGGATATCAACTGTATCTTGTAATACAATATCGGTAAGTTTACTGCTTGTATTGTTTTCGAATTTTTAATTAGAAAGGTCAACAATGCAAAAAAAAAACAAATATATCATTTCATTTAATTGAATTAATAGATAAAGAAAAAAAAAGTCATAGATTATGAAAGTTCGTAAGGTTTATTGATAGATTTTTATTAATGAAATTAATAAATTAGACAACATATATGTCATCACAAATCATATGTCTTACTAATAGAATAAAACATAATTCGAGAAAATTGTCTAATTTTAATCTTTCTTATCACTTTCAAGGTTTACTATTTCCTATTACAATGTTTAAAATCTAAAGCAAGAGAACTTCAAATAGTTATATTTTTATAACCTAAATACAACATTGTATACTCAAAAGTGAAGAGGCATGATTTTTATGATTGAATATAAAGTAAAATAGCACATGTGAGACATTTTTTCAAGGACAAATGATAATGATGAGAAGAAAAAAAAACTGGCATTATCATTATCATTTAGAATAGCGATCCGTTTGTAAAAAGATATTGTTGTCAAGGATTAATATTTGTATAGGCTTACACAAACATTTTAGTTTATGTTTGCTAGCAAAATGTAAAATTGTCTTTTTTTCTATCATTATATCTATATATATATGTAAATATAATTACTGTTATTTTAACAAAATGAAACAACAAAAGTCAATTCTATTTCACTAATAATGTCCTTCTATATGCTAAAAAATACAGTAATATGTCTAAACATACTTGTTTTTTTTTGATTTTTATATTTTTCTGGATTGTAAAATGAGAAATTATGATTGTTGACAGTAGTCTATTATCATTTCATTAGCATTTATAATATATATATATTCGAATACTTGGTTATTTTATTTCTTATAAGTTTTATGACTTAGTAATAATAGTTTTGAAGCTATTATATGATAAAAACATTTTGTTATTACGAACTAATTTACTTCGAAAGGTAATCTATGATGTAATATGATATAACAAAAAAAAAAAGACAACGATGAACTCAATCTAATCATCGTTATTTCTCTTTGCTAAAACGATAAGTGTATCATCCTTGTAAAACAAGGTTGTTTGCTTCCATTTATTGATTATGTAATTTCTTTTTCTTTTTCTTTTTTCATTCTCAGTCTATTGATTATGTTTGACTATTTTTGAGATAAATTTACATAGATAAATAGAAAATAAATATTTCTCATACAAATAATTATATATGACATCAGTAATAGATGAATAAATTACAAGAAAATTTTATGTTCGTTTACACCTGTAGATAAATGTTTAGATGAGTAATATTGAGCTCTTGTTTTATAGCTAACATATTGTACTATTATATAGTATGTACTTGTACATATTACATATATTTGATTACTCAACGAGAAGTGATGTTCATTATAGACCTTCAAGTAATCGATGGCCAAATGATTACATCCAAAGACAAGTAGAAGAATAAAAATGATTTCATATATATATATATATAAGATTATTTTATAAAGAAAGAAAAACAATGCTTAGAAATATGTAAATACTTAACTAACGTTTTTTTTTGTCTTTTTTTTTTGCTTTTCTAACCATTATAAGATTATTGATCATCTTTTTTTACTTTCATATGAATAAGTGCAAAGTTTACATCTTGAGCATTCAAGATAACAAATAATAGAGTAGTAATAACGTTCCATCACGTACACATATGTAGAAATATCTACAACCAATACATATGTAGAATGATGCATTTATTATTCTTTAGTTTTTCTTTTTTTTTTTAGGTTTTTTTTCTAGATCTATTCTAGTCAATAGTCATTATAAAAAAAAAAGAAAATGGTTTATATAATCGATCATATTTTTCTCATAATTGTCTCAATAACAATTGTAAGAACAAAACCATGTAATATACTTGAAGATATGTCATGTGAATGTCATAAATCATCAAATAATGAAAGTGAACAATTAAATTGTGTAAATTATTTTAAACCAATAAATACAACAATTCAATTAACAAATATAACATTAGAAAATCCACGTTCATTTGATTCATTTCATTTAACATTTCATGCACAAGAATTTAATATAAGTACAACATTTATTAATCAATTATCTTATTTATTTCCACGTACATCATCATTATTATCATCATTACGTGGTATACAACAACGAACAATTAAAATTATTTTAACATTTCAAGATTATCGTAAAATACATTTTGAAGATTATTCATTTTATCAATTATTTGGTGAAAGACCTGAATATACAACAAGTCTTTCATTAGAATTAACATCAAATGGACATATTACATTTTCACCAATGGCATTTAATCATTTAACTGTTGATCGTATGTCTTTACATAGTTCATCATTAGAACCATATTCATTTGAAGAAATATTTAATAATACGAAAATTGGTAGTTTATCTATTGAAGGTAAAATAAAAATAAATATATAAAATCTTCGAAATATTTTATTATTTTTATTTAGGTTGTACACCTCGAAATAATAATACATTAGGTCGATATTTTAAAGGTCAAATTCGTTCTGCAAAATTTACAAAAATGGCTGAACATGTTTCAAGTGAAGAATTTCCTAAATATCCAGTTAGTTCAATGATTATTGAAGCACATGAACCAAGAAAACTTAATGCATCAACATTTATTAATTATTATAATTTAAATGGTGTTAATTTAGTTCGACCAAAATTTTTCTTTGATAATAAATCTTTTGATGGTTTTCAATATTTAGAAAATCTTGAAGCTATTGAACTTGATGCTGAAACAATAAAAGGTAAAAAAATCAAAAAAAATATTTGAAGAAAATTTTTTCTTAACTTTATATATATATTAGATAATACATTTCAACATGTTAATCGTATAAGATTTTTTACACTTGGACAAAATGTTCGTTATTTATCTGAACATTCACTTGATCATTTAGATTATTTAACACGTCTTGATTTATCAAAAGTTATTCTTGATCAATTATATCCAACATCAAAATGTATTTTAGCACGTTATTTAAATAAACAACAAAAATTAAATCCATCAATGATTATTCTTCCACCACAAGCTGAATTTTGTGATTGTGTTTATGATTTTATATTAAATATTTTAAATAAAAAAGCTGAACAATCTTATATTGATTTATGTCAAACTACTCAACAAGAACGTTGTCAATTAAGTGAATGTGATGTTGTTAAAAATTTTCGTATACCATTACAAGAAAATAATATAGAACAACATATTATTCCATCAATTGATGAAAGTTTTATTGATACACCAATATCATTTTATCCAATTGATGATCCAATAACAACAACAACAACAACAGCAACAACAAGAGCACCACCACCACCATTACCACCAGTTTATTATCAACCAATTCATATACCTCAACATCCACCTGTTTATCATAGTTCTCAATCAGATGATAATAATGATGATGATTCAGTTGGTTCATCTTTTGCAGATACACAGGTGATTATTATTGATCCAATACAGTTGTCATCATCATCATCACCACCACCACCACCACGATCTTATTTCGTGGTTAGAAAGCGAACGAGAAAGGGAAAGAAACAATCTCGAAAACATTTTACTCAGAATAATTCATCATCTTATTCCTATCATGGACCACATTGGTGATCGTTTTGTTTTATTATAGTTTTTTTGATTCTCTTTCCCTTCCTATTTTTTTTTTCATACATCATTTTGTTATTGTTATTTTTATCTTTTACCCCTGTTGTCCTTACATATTTTCACATAAAGTATAGATTAGTAGAAATATGAGAATTTTCTTAAAAGAAAATTAATTTCTTCTTGTTTTTTGATTTAATTTCATTTATTTTCTTCTTAGGGTTTACATGCATCATCATTCAAAATCAATAAACCAATTGATCCAAATGCAATACCAACAGATGATCATGATGAAAATTTAAATTTACCAACAACAATACATAAATCACAATCTTTACATAATAATTATGATGAATATTATCAAATTTCAAAAAAAAATAAAATATTAAAATGGATATCATTAACATTAGTAGGTATTACAATTTTAAGTATTATTCTTATTGGTACAATGGTATGGTTTTATACTTATCATGTACCTAAAACACATAATAAAGCCAAATTTCAACGTGTTCCACCAACTAGTTCAAATGTTTAATTATAGTCTTTCGTAACAAAAAAAAAACTAACTAACTAACAATACTAATATGCGTATTTTTATGATAATCCGGTGATAGAACTTCTACTTTTTTTTTTTCGCTTTTATTTTTTCTTTGGCTTTATATAATTATATTGTTGATGAACAGAAATGTTTATACAAATGGAATGGACCGATGGGAAAAGACAAGATGAAGAAGTACAATAGCCCATTAATGACCTTGTTTTGTATGGAAACGATTATGAATGAATGACGTACATTTGTTCTCTTGTATTCTTATCGTTTAATGTCAACTCAGGGACAATATATTCTTTAAAATGCAACTAGTTTATACCCATCAACATTCCTTTTATTTGCAAATCATGTTGAGCTTCAAATCAAAATAATTAAAAAAAAACTATGTTGAGTTATGTTGTTCTTTTTTTTTAGAAATATTATCCATTTATCTTTTTTTTTGTTTTATTTTATTCATTTTTTGCACGAAAAAAAAAAAAAAAAATCTTTTTGTTTCTTTTTTCTGTCCATTATTGTTATTTTAATAGAATAGAACGTTGCACACATATATTGAGTTAAGGTTTTCTTTTTTTTTGAGGGGAAAAGAGTTTTATTATTTATACATTTTGTTTTTTTGTCTTGTTTTAAATTTTGTTTTTACATCTGAAAGAAAATTTATTTCATCTGTTAAAAATTGACATAGATTTTATGGATTATTCTTGTTGTTTATTTTTTCTCTCAATTTAAGAGAATAAGACATATCGAAATAGAATATCTTTAATGATCAGTACAATTAACAACATGTACTTATAATTAACAAAACAGACGATGTCTAGAAGTCTTCTGTCAATATGATTATCAGTACAATGTCATAAGATAGCTTATATATAGACTTGATAACATCTTTGTTCATGCCATGTATATACTAATGATAAAGTCGAGGTCATCAATGTCTTTGATAACATATTTAAGATAGATCTTAAATAGTACTATTTGTTACTCTTTTATTAATATATAATGACATGTACAACAGAACTAGAATATATATCGCCAGACAACAGTTGTCCTTCAATCAAGAGAATATTATAGACATCAAGGTCTACAATCATTTTAGTACTTTGTTTTATGAGTCTTTTTAATCTATACAAATGTTCGCACTATTGTGAATAATGTGCATTTATGATATGTCATTTGTACACTTCACTTCAATAAATAATCGTTATTTTATCATATCAATAATAGTAAAGTAACCATATGGCAAGTGTGACTCATTGCTCTACCCCTTTTCATTTATAAATGATTAAGTTCTCCGTAAAAAGAAATTTGAATTTCTTCTAAAAGTACTACTAAAGGGATCTTCACTTCTTTTCCTTTATGACAGTACTGATCGTCATCTATATTTTCTCGTTAGTTAAAATAATTGGTTCATTGTGATAATTTATTCATACTTATCTTATTAACTCTTTCTTTATTGTACATATCTTTACGTCACTATTTAACTTCTGCTTGACTGCTATCTTCAGTCGACTATTTCTTCATCTATTCATATTATTCTTGTCTTGTTCATTATCTGATAAAATACATTGATGAATCTACATTTATCTTCAAATCAACTTACTATTATTTTATCACATGTAACCACTTGAGATCATATCTTGCTATACTTCAATTGATTCCAATATCGAGTACGATTTGAGTTGTATCTCTTGTCTACCTATGAAAATCATCATCTGCATGACTGCTGTTGTATTTAATTTATCATTTATCACCAGTAATCAGACTGTTTCATTACTTCAACCTGCTATTAAAAACATGTTAGAACAAATGTGTTTATTATCTGATCGTCTCGAACAAACAATAGTTTCCTGTTCACCTATCATTCAGTCCTTTCCGGTCAACATTGATTTATTTTCATTGTAGAGTCATTCATATTGTTGATTTCTAAGTAGCAAATCGATTTTGAGTCAATATTATGTAGGTTTTAATGAGTTATGAATATTCTGAAAAGATTTTGGGCGAATAGCTTATTCCTGGCGAGATAGTGTATTGCAATTTTTCAAAGCGATAGGTCTTAATTAAAATAGCTTATTTTAAAGGTTACAGATTGTTCGATTGCGCCTATTCTAAAATAAGAATTAATCGTGGTATATGAGCAGCATGGAAAAAAAGGCTTTTACCATAGCCGTACCATAGAATAGAAGCAATCAATAGATTTCAAGTTTTTGAATAAACTATTCTCGTTCACTTCTGTTTCTATGTCAAGCTTTAAATCGAAATTCAGTTTTCCTAAGGCGAATCATGACATTCTATTAAAAAAATATAGTACACATATAACATTCTAAGAGTAGTAAACTATTAGCCTGAACTCTTTTCTGATTATTCATCGCTCATTAGAATTAACATGATGTATTTTGTCCTAACCTAAAAGTGATTTGAAACTTCGAAACGTTCCCTAAATAACTTTATTCGTTCATATGCAATCTCGTTTTGTTCACTCAAATCCTTTATTATCAACATTTTGGTTTCTATTTCATCAACTATTACTACTACTCCAGTATCATATATCATCTGATAGTAGCACATGTGATCCCATCCTGTTGCAGCTCATTCCTCCCCCTATCATTTTTTTTCTCTGGCTACACCACTAATCGATAGAACCGAGGATAATTCTATGTATATTCCATGTAGATGATACAAGAAAAAAAAACCAATTAAGATCATTCACAGTCAACCTATATAATTCGAGGTCAGATCAATGTATCATTAACACAGCTTTACTAGAGAAGACGATGATTGAATCAATAACAATTATTTATAGAACTGAATCAGTAATTCGATACTACTGAAAAAAGTATCAATAATGTAAATTGATATTAAATTTAAGCAAAATGTAAACAATCATTTGTTTTTTTTTGTGTGTTTGAATTCTGAATTCAAAATAAAAATCCAGATGGCACTATTGATCGAAAAAAAAAACTTGCCAGGTTTTTCGTTTTGATTGGATACACTTTGAATTTAATCCAAGTGAAAACTCCTCCTATTGAGTAACGTTGCGTGGCATGTTATTGTCAATCAATTCACTTCAAACATCTATTTAAAAAGCAAAATATTCTATACATAAAGAAACAAAAAAAAAACAATCACTGTGTTTTCTTTTTGGTTCTTTTTTCAAAATGTATTCATTCTATTTTATTCTCTGTTTCTTTATTTTACTTTATACATTTCATAATACATATGCTGATGATAAACCAAAAGTTAAAAAAGATCCAAGAGATTTTACTGAGAATGATGTTAATAATCTATTTGAACAATGGGAGGTAAATGTTTTATGCTTGATGTTATTTCTTTTTTTTTTTTAATAGAAATTGAACAAGAATTTTTTTGTTTGATATAGGAAAATGATGAAGATGTATTACCTGAAGATGAACGACATGATTTTTATTTACGTCATCCATATGGTAAACATCAACCACCTATGTTTAAACCAGATGAATTAGTTGGACAAGATCCACAAAATTTATTAAAAATGACAAAAAAAGGACAATCATTAATGATGTTTGCAACTGTTTCTGGTAATCCTACAAGACGAGAAACAGAAGAAATAACACAAATATGGTGGGCAGCTTTAAAAAATGCTTTATATGATGTAACTAAGTAAGTTTTTTTTTTTTTCAATAAAAGATTTTTTGATCTTTTCTTCTCATCTCATATAGATATATTGTTGATGATAGTCGAGTATTATTTCTTTTACAAGATGGTTCACAAGCATATGAAGTTAAAGATTATCTTGTTCAACAGGATCGTTGTCAAGAAGTAACAATCGATAATCGACCATTTTTAGGAAAAGGAGCACAAGTAAACAAACTATATTAATCCTTTTCTTTGTTTTTTTTTTCAATAATTTTATTCATTTTAGAATGCTCAACAAGCAAAAGCTCGAGATTTATAAAAAGACAAAAAAAAAAATCATGAATAGAATTGTTTTTTTTGCTAATCTTATTATATTTATTTTGTTGACTAGTCACTTCATTAGTTAGTGGGAATATTTTTTATTTTGCACCAAAGCATTTGATCTATGAATTGTGATGAAAGTTTTTGTCATTTTTTTTTTCTCTCATGGGATACAACTTTTTTGTTTTTTTTGATTAATTATTTAAATAAATATAATGGGCGAAGAAAAATAATCTAGACGAAAAATTAGATGTTGCTAGAATATCGTATTTTTTGAAAGTTATATTGAACACGGTATTTTTTTCAAATAGGTTTTATTTTTACACGAGAAAAGTAATGACCTATAGAGATTTGCTGAAAATTCATGATGATTTATTGAGTTACTCTTCTGATTAAGAACTGAAATGTGAGCTCATTGGATCTTAAATTTTTGAAACTAAAGTTCGGTCGAATCGTACTATTGTAACTTTCAATGAAATTTTCTAATTGGAATCGAATAATTTCATGATTTCAAAATTTTCAGATCTTGAGCCGAACTGATTCCAGACTAATCTGATGATATCTATTACTCACGTCGTCAAAATCGGTTCAGCATTGAAGATTTATCAGTGAATTTTGCAACAAACTTCAACAGTACGCATATTTTTTAGATCAATCTTAAGAGTCAAATGAGCAGCAAATATTGTTCTTTTTTTTATTATGCTATGGCATATGCGAAAGACAAAATCATCTGTTTCCTTATTTATGGATGCAATGATAAAAAAAACGATCGTATACCCGTCGAGATACAGTCGTATTTCTAGAGTCGACAATTAGGACTAAATCCAATTATCGTAAATATTGAAAGAAAAATCGTAATGACACCAGTTTTATCTCAAAAGTCTTTTTTTTTTTATTAAATTTCTCTTACTCAATAATTCTAGAAAACCTTTTTTTTTTAGAATGTCTAGCAAAAGATTAAGTTTGATTTCTGCAGAATTATGAATCTATTTATTCAAACATTGGAAAATATACTTTAAGAGAATAACTAAAAAGAATTATTTTGTTTAGTAAAT